TCCAAAATATCGTCCAAAAATACCGGACCTTAGTTGCATTTTTATGAAAGGTTAGGGACTTTCGCTTACATAAAATGAATTTTAAGATAAAGTTTGCAACAAATGAAAATGTTAGGGACCATTGCTGCAATTTTCCCAATAAAATTGAAATTTGAAAGTTGAGTTCTAAATGAGGAATGCCATCCATCGCCATTATTTATAAGAATCGCTAACATAAAGAGTATTACTATTGATTGTGAAATATCGATTGCTTTGTTGACCATTTAAATTTCATGAACGTAAGATATTCCACATTTGAGAGTAAGAGTTTTAGAAAATGTTTTTGGTGAAAAAAAAAATGTAAATGAAAGATATCACTAAATTAAATTGAGTCCACGATCAACAATTTATTGGACAGTGGAACCATTAACACATTCTTCAATAAAGGTGAACAGAGAAGAAAGATTTAGCATGTTTGGTACAAATTAAAATTTGATTTTAATCTAAGTCACAATCAAACAATTAATATTAAACATATCTTTTATGGACCTTACAACTTTTTAACTACATATTTCAAAATTTTCTATCATAATCTAGTAAAAAATCTAATTTTAATTCTCATCAAACAACTTCTTAGATTCAATGTTGCTATTTATTTGTCCACTGATTGATGATGAATGATAACATTATTCATTTTAAACTCTTACTATTTACTCCCATTTTCGTGCCGTTTGAGTCAATTTCCGACACTTTTTCCAAGATCAATCGAATATTTTGTACTCTCTTTCAATATAATAATTAAATAATAATATTTATCTCCATTAAAGTAGAGTGTATTTACCGATTCCCTTTATTAAAATATTGCCCCCTTTGTTGAGAAAATTAGAGACAAATGCTGCTTAATTTCTGTCTAATCAAATTCGAATTTTTTACACGATGCAACCCACTGATGCATGAGATTTATAGAAATCTGTGCAGAAAGTTGGATTTCTGCTGTGTAATTAATGCAAATTTTGTCTCCTTTCGGCGTAAAACAAAAATATTCTCAATAACTATGCATGAAGTGTCAATTTTGAATTTCTATTCAATCAAAATAAGAAAGGAAAGGAACAAAAAGAAGTGGAAAACGAATTCCAATGTCAATTTGTATGGCTTTTACACCACTTCCCCAATAATTTTAAGGGATAATTGCAGCAGTGGTCCCAAATCTTTCAAACGGTTACAGTATACTGCATTAAGATAAGTTGAAAAATTAAATTAGAAAAACCAAATAATAATAATAATAATAATGATGATAATAATAATAACTATAGATCTTCTTCTTCCACTCCTAAACCCACCGTGCAGTCTAAAACCCATTCATTCATCTATTTTCGTCAATCGCTGTCATCAGCGAAGGCCTACCACCGTCAACCTATCACACACAGCAAACCAATTTAATACAGAAACCACCGCCTAACAATTTGCAATTGCTCTGATTTCCTTATCTCAACCCCTTTTCATTCCTAACTTTCTCAATGCTACACCAGCAATACAAATACACAATTGATCGTTTTGTCCGTACCTGTCCTCGTCGAAGTTTATTGTGTAACTCAAGGGATTATATTGGAATTTCTGTATTTTGATTCCTTCTTCATCTCTACCATATAGTGTTTGGGGCGAAAGTTCCAATAACACATGTTGATTCCAAACCGGATTATAAAGAACTAGATTTAATGACAATATTGAAGTATACTAGATCACACACCGAAAAACAAGGTTTAAAAGTAAAGAAAACACAAATGGATTAACACAGAGAACAATGTTTATTAAACTGAACAATATGGAGAAAAAAGACATACTAGCAATACTGCTTCTATCTAACTCTCTTCAAACTGACTAGAGGAGCCTCATATTTATAGGCCAACCCTAGAAGAGTCCTAAAAGGTAAGAAAATATATTACAATTAGGAGACCCAATTTCAACATGATTTTGTTTCCTTAATCAACTTAGTTTCTTTAATCCCTAGATTCATATTCTCCTAGTTCAAGTCGAATACGCCTCTTTAAAAAATTCTTATTTGAGTCATACTCCTAACAATCTCTACATTGACTCAAATTTTGGTGCAACGAACGAAACTCCTAGATTTCAAATCCGTTTGCAACGAAATGAACTGACCGAATCTCCTCAACACAGTAACCATTCTATATAAACCAAACACTCGTACTCTGCCCGGTGTCCACAACCGACACCCGAACCAAAACCCAGGGTTCCCAATTCCACCAAGAAATTAATGATGATCACACAAGGCCGAAGCACACCCTGTAGTAAGAACAAAATCAGATTCTTGATCAGAAGGCTCCTTGCTGGAACTGTTGCCTTCAATGTCCCTAGAAGCATCCCAGACATTGCTGATATCACGGTACCTACGCTCAATGGTCCTACCCAGCAACTGAACACAGTTTACTCGTTGAAATTAGTGGCAAAGTAGAATCACCAACGCTCTTCCTAGTAGTGTTCTGAATTAACTCAGAGCCCAACACAAGATGTACTACACCAAACTGAACTTCCACCATGGTACTAAACTTGTCCAAATGTCTCCTCTTAATTGGTTCTGCACTCCCCTGCAAAATGTACAATTGGGATTTTTTCGTCCCTCTAGTACAACTTTGACTTCCTTTCCGACCTTCAAGACTCCACTTTCTCCAGAGAATTTATACCATTTTGCATCCAGGATACTTAGCGAAATGAGATTTCTTTTCAGGTCAGGAACATGTCGAACCTGATCAATCGTTCTAAATGTTCCATCCCATAGCCTCAATCTGACTCGACTGATCTCAGCAATACGACAAGATTGGTTGTTTTCCATTACAACTCCACTTTGCTAAACAACCTCATATGTCTGAAATAAATTCCTATCGAAACACATATGGTGCGAACATGCTAAATCAAGAATCCCCTTCTCGTCAAGCCTAGACTCCACATTAGATACCACGGTCAACACCACCTCTTCGCTACCTGAACAATTCTCAACTACATTGGTTTCGTCTGAATTCAAAGATTGTACCCCACGATTTGCAACTAAATTACCTTTAGCCTGCAACATATCGCAATCCTTCCAAATATGTCCCTTTTGCAGTAGTAACATGTCACATTGCTAAATCTAACTCTCGATCTGCCTCTTCGTCGACCATCGTGAGATAAAAGAGCTTCCCCATCCCTTGATGTAGCTCCAACCAAATGCTTCATTTTTTCCTTTGAGTGCAAAGCATCATAAACATCTTCTATAATCAAAGTATCTCGACTAAACAAGATAGTATCCGAAACGAAACATAAGACTCAGGGAGCGAACACAACGGGATCAAAGCAAAATCCTCTTCATCGCACTTAACTTCCAACGTCTCCAGATCTGCAATTATTTCCTTGAACACAGCAATGTGATCTTCCAACAATCCTCCTTCCGCCATGCGATGGGAATACAGCTCTGTTTAAGAGCTAGTTTACAAGTAAGACTTTTAGTCATACATAATTGCTCTAGTCTCAATCACAAAGCAGCGATCGTATTTTCCTTTTAGATATCCTGCAGAATATTGTTGGATAAATGAAGATGAATCAACGATACAGCCTTTTGATCCTTTCGTTGTTTCTCCTTCGTTGTCCAATCAGCTGACATCTTCTCAAAACCTATCAACGCATCGTCCAAATCCAACTGCGCCAGAACAGTCCTCATCTTCACTTGCCACAAAGAAAATCTTGTATTACGATCTAGTTGAGGAATATCATACTTCAACACAGCCATCCTGAAAAAATATCAAGTAGGAGTATGACTCAAATAGATGGATGGTTTTGCTAAGGAAATGGATGGCCTTTATCATCTTATTACTCAAGACAACCCTGCACTCTTATCCATCCCCAATAGTTCCACAGCTCATGTCTCTCAGAAGCTCGATTACAATCTATGGCATTACAGGCATGGACATATATCCAATACAAGAACGTCCAAAATATCTTTCATATCTTCTCATATTTTTTTCTAAAAATTTCCATAAATGTGAAATTTGTCCTTTGGCAAAACAAAAAAAGTTGCCTTTTCCAGTTAGTATTTCAGTTTCTAATAAAATCTTTGATTTAGTACATTGTGATATATGGGGTCCTTTCCATGTGTCTTCTTTTGAGGGTTACATATTTTTTTTCAACCATAGTTGATGACTATTTAAGATGCACGTGGGTTTTCATGATGTATTCTAAATCTGAAACCCGTAGCCATATGAAGAATTTTTATCAATCGGTCTTTACATAATTTAATGCAAAAATAAAGACCTTTAAAGCTGACAATGGGTCTCAATTTCTTATGTCAGATTTCTATAATTCTCGTGGAATTATCCATCAGAGAAGTTGTGTGGAATCTCCCCAACAAAATGGAATTGTGGAGAGAAAACACCAATATATCCTTGAAGTCACAAGGGCACTCATTTTTCAATCTCATGTACCTTTTATTTTTTTAGTGTGACTGCATCCTCACAGCAGTACACATTATCAATCATATCCCATCCCCAATCCTTGGTAACAAAACTCCTTATGAGATGCTCTTTCAAAAACCACCAGCCTATGATCATCTCAAAACATTAGGATCCTTGTGCTTTGCCAGTACACTTAGTAATAATAGACCTAAATTTTCTCCTCGAGCATCTAAATGTATATTTTTGGGTTACCTCCTTGGATACAAGGGCTACAAGGTTTATGATTTGGAAAATCACAAGACTTTTGTCAATAGGAACGTTCTCTTCCACCAAACCTCTTTTCCCTATTAAAATTGCTCACCTCGTTTCCCTACAAGTCTTTATCTATTTCCTATATTTGAACCATCCTTTGATTTTACTTATCCTCATATAACACAACCAAACCAATCAGAAGACATTAGCAAATTTCAGTCACATGATAATCTCAATACAGTATCTGACCATGCTTATCCTATTCCTCCATCAATTGACAGCTTACCTCTTCCCAAAAAGTCTAATAGAACTAAACATCCACCTTCCTAGATGTATGACTACCATTGTGATTTACCCTCTTCTAATGCAATCCAATCTTCCATGTTGCTGGCCAGATCCTTTACTCCCGATAAACCTTTTTCTCTTTCTTACTGTATCTCGACTGATGGACTTGCCCCCCAAACACAAAGCTTTGCTTGCTTCTATTTCTAATGTTTTTAACCTAATTATTATGGTCAAGCCATCCAATTTTCTCACTGGCAAGTTGTCATGAATTGTGAGATTTAGGCCCCGTTTGGTACCCATTTTTTTCAAAATGCATTTTTCTCTCTCTTTTTTCAACCACATATTCTTTATTAAAATAATATTACACATAAATCAAAAGCTTTTCCTTATATTTCAACTACAAATTTCCCATCAATTTACTATTCAAAAATATATTTTTACGTAAAAATGTCTCCCAAACACCCTCTTAGGCTCTTGAATAAAATACATGGACCCTTACTCATCTGCCACTGAACAAACATACCATTGGTTGCAAATGGGTGTATAAAGTGAAGTTTAAACCAGATGATACTGTAGAAAGATACAAGGCATGCCTGGTTGCCAAAGGATATATGCAACAAGAAGGGTTGAGTTTCTTTGACATATTCTCCCATGTTGCAAAGTTGACATCTATTTGGGTTCTTTTAGCTGTTGTAGTTGTAAATAACTGGTATCTGCATCAACTGGATGTCAACAATGCTCTCCTTCATGGGGATTTACATGAAGAGGTCTACATGGATATATCACAAGTTTATTACTCTCAAGATCCTTCTCTTGTCTGCGAACTCAATAAAAGTTTATATGGTCTTAAGCAAGCTTCTCGCTAGTGGGTTGCCAAATTAACTTCCAGTTTACTTTCATATGGTTTTCATTAATCTAAATCTGATTCATCTTTATTCATAAAATCCACCACTGATTCCTTTATTGTACTCTTGGTTTATGTTGATGACATCCTTCTTGCAAGTAATAATCTTCATGAATTTCATTTCATAAAGCATTTCCTGCATGATAAGTTTGCAGATAAATACCTAGGAGAGTTGCACTACATTCTTGGTTTGGAGGTTGCTAGCTCGAGGAATGGAATCAGTCTCTGCATAAGAAAATATGGTCTAGATGTCGTCAAAGATTCTTGTTTTTTCAGCTGCAAACCAGTGGCCTTTCCTATGGAGTCTAATCTCAAGCTCAAGTCAGAAGACGCAGATCACTTATCTGATCCTTCTATTTATAGAAGGCTCATTGGCAGATTAATATATCTCACCATTACAAGGGCTGATTTCGCATATTTTGTCCAGGTTCACAGTCAATTCATGTCCAGTCCAGCTCAATCTTATCTAAATACTGCTCAAATAGTTCTTGGATATCTTAAAGCTACTCCAGGTCAAGGGTTGTTCTTTGCTTCCAACTATGATTTACACCTCAAAGCTTATAGTAACAGTGATTGGGTCAGCTATCTTGATACTGGACGCGGCGTTATTGGTTTTGCCATATTTCTTGGGGATTCCTTGGTCTCCTGGAAATCCAAGAAGCAATCTACTATAAGTAGCTTTTCGGCTGAAGCTGAGTATAGAGCCTTATCATCCACCACCTGTGAAATAAAATGGTTGTTTTATTTTCTTTATGATTTGGGCATTTCTCATCCTCAACTAGCACTTTAATACACAGACAGTAAATCAACTCTCTCAATTGCTTCAAATTGTGTCCATCATGAGAAGACCAAACATATTCAAATAGATTGCCACCTTTGTTTGTGAAAAGCTAAATTCTGGTTTAGTCAAAATCTTCTATGTTTCTTCCCACCATCAGCTCGCGGATGTTCTCACTAAACTATTTGGCTCTGTCATGTTTGACACCAATATACCCAAGATAGACATTCTGAAGATCCATGCCCCTCTTGGTTGGGGGGGGGGGGCTCTTACAATACAGCTAAACCATCAGAAGAAATAAAGAAGCCTTCAGAAGAAGACACAGACCAGCAACTTAATTCAGTTTATTTCAATTAACATCTTTAATCAGCTAAGTAGTTAATTTAGTTAGTGGGTTAGTTAATTAGTTAGAATAGTTAGTTTGTTGGTTACTTGGCTTGTATATAAATAGTCGAATGTAATTTGTAAAAGTTTGAGCTTGATTAATTCTTCTTCTTCATCAGATTTTCTTTATTCTCGATCTCCTGTAATGACAAGTTTCTATGTAATTTGCCCCCAGGGCACATCTCCAAATGGTAAAAGGGGAGGGTGAGAAATCCAACTTTGCTTGAGGCTGCTGCGTCAAGGGTTCGAATCCTGAAATATGGATTTGGCTCTTGGGTAAGTGCAAGTGTACAAGCAGCCTTCCACCCTATACCCTTGGAGGCATAACCTGCGATTTACCTCCCTCACGATGCTCCAAAGCAGGGGCGGTGGAGGACCCTTAAGGTTGGGATTCAACCTTTAAGTTTCTATGTAATTTCAATTGATAAATTTCCACATGAATGTCTTCTATTTTGGACTGGCCACTATCTCTAACCATTTTCTCGTTTTCCTTTAGTGCGTTTATTCCCTTATCACATCGATCGTCGTTGGGCAGTTTTATGCTGTTTCTCCGATGTCGAAATCCACCCCCAGTTATTGGATTCTCGTGACCTAAAACTCCAATAGCAATAGCAGCCATGGCTGGAGAATGCCCGTTCTTGTAAATCACCGTTTTAAGTCCATTTATTTCTGGAAAAATTTTGGGGGGTTTGATTTCGATTTTGGAGTAGGTGAAGAAGATGATAGATAGTTATTTTATTTATTAGTTTTTAAAAGATAATATTATAAATATTAGATTACTGTTATGCCCTTTTAAAAATTATTAAAAAAATGGTCAAACTTAATTTTTGGGTCGACAAACAGATATTTGGATGGAATTCATCCATTGGGACTTCAATCGCAACATTTCAAAAGGTCAGGAGTGGTGGTTGCAATGGATGAAAGGTTAGGGGAAAGTTTGTAACTATTTGAAAGATTTGAGACTTTTGCTGCAATTATCCCTAATTTTGATACTTGAATAACAAATAGACCTTTAGCGGTTAGTCATGTTGAATAACAATTGCATTTTTTATAGAGTTGATATCATTATTTATTTGATAGATAAAAGTATAGCGAGAATTCTTATCAATCACTAGATGGTCAATCTTTACTTATGGGGTGTTTGGGAGACATTTTTATGTAAAAAATGTATTTTTGAATAGTAAATTGATTAAAAATGTGTGGTTGAAAAATAAGGAAAATTTTTTGATTTACGTATAATATTATTTTAATAAAAAATGTGGGGTTGAAAAGAAGAGAAAGAAAAATGCATTTTGAAAAAAATGAATACCAAACGGAGCCTTAACTGAGTTCAAACAATGCCCCAAGATCCCATGTCTTTCTTGATTGAATCAATTCAATTGATCATTTTTCACTTCTTGTAATTTATTTCTTGGATAAGTGTGCAGTAAAGGTGCTTTAAATGCTAGATAGCCCATCTTTATTTAACTCATTTATCTTAATTGGACCAATCCAACCGATTATTTTCAACTTCTTGAAATCCCTACAAATCTGTAGATACTAGGAGCATGCTACACACAAAAAAAATAATTAAAATAAAATAAAATAATAATAATAAATAAATAATGGCCTTCTATGCATTTGATTCTTTACGCAAGGGAAAAATGGGTACTCACAAAAGAAAAGGGGGAAAAAATATCAACTCTAGGATCATTAACACCATTTACTGTTGTCCTCATTATCCTTGTGACAACTGATTCTGGCAGACATTACTATTTCCTTCTCAAGCGACTGCTCAAATTCACGGCTTCACATTAATGAATTATCCTCCACTGTCTAAAGGGGGGAAAAAGGGAGATGCTTCTTGGATAAGAATGGCAAACAGCATTATACTAAATTAACATTTCCCTGGTCCCGTCTCGTTCATAAAGCAACTCAATTATATTCCCGTATCAACTGTTAATTACTACAAATTTTCCATCTTTTTCTTGAAACTTTCTCTATTTCCCATGCATCATTCACCAGAAATAAACATATTAAAAAGAGACACACGCATACATATGTACACTATCTTTCACTGGGGTCTCTCTCCAAATTAGCCCTCTTTCTTCTGCCCCTGTGATGCAATTTCCAATGGGGATCCTCCGTTCCTTGTATTATTTAACTATTTTTGCAGTTTCTTCGATGTTTATGGCGACAGTTTTGGCTTCTGATCCTCTTTCTGATGCACTTTTGAGCTTCGAATCCGAGATTATTGATGATTCCAACAGTTTAAATGACTGGATCGTGCCTTCTGGAGTGAACTCTTCAGGGAAAATTCTTGCATGTTCATGGACTGGAGTGAAATGCAGTCAAGATTCTTCTAAAATTGTCGGCTTAGACCTGTCTAAGAAGAATCTTAGAGGTTCATTGTCAGGAAAACAGTTCAATCTCTTTGTTGACTTGGTTGATTTGAACCTCAGTCACAATTCGCTTTCAGATAAACTTCCTGCTGGAATTTCTAGCCTTACCAATCTAAAATCCCTTGATATCAGCAGGAACAATTTTTCAGGCCATTTTCCAAGTGGGTTTTCCAAATTCCAGAATTTGGTTGTTCTTGATGCATTCAGCAATAGCTTTTCAGGACCTTTACCGGCCGATATTTCTGAAATTCAGTCCCTCAAAGTGCTGAATTTTGCTGGGAGTTACTTCCGTGGACCAATCCCATCAGAATATGGTTCATTCAAGAACCTTGAATTCATTCATCTGGCAGGAAATAGTCTTAGTGGTAACATACCTCCAGACCTGGGGAAGCTGAAAACATTGTCCCACATGGAGATTGGATATAATAGATATGAAGGAGGAATTCCATGGCAATTTGGGAACATGAGCGAACTCAAGTATCTTGACATTGCAGATGCCAACCTTTATGGTTCAATCCCAAAGCAAATCTGCAATCTTACAAAACTGGAATCACTTTTCCTCTTCAGTAATCAGCTCACTGGATTGATTCCATGGGAATTCAGCAACATCTTGCCGCTTAAAAGCATGGATCTTTCGGACAACCTACTTTTCGGACAAATTCCGGATAGTTTTTCAGAGTTGAAGAATCTTAGGCTTCTAAGCCTAATGTACAATAATTTGGATGGCTTTGTCCCTGAAGGAATTGCTAAGCTTCCACAACTTGATACTCTGCTTCTATGGAACAATAACTTTTCAGGTTCACTCCCGCAAGACTTGGGAAGATACTCAAAGGTCAAATATGTGGATGTTTCGACCAACAAGTTTGTTGGTAGCATACCCACTGATATATGTTCAGGAGGGGAGCTAATGAAATTGATCTTGTTTTCAAACAATTTTACTGAAGGGCTGTATCCATCTCTTTCCAATTGTTCCTCTCTTGTTCGTGTTCGACTGGAAGATAATTCATTCTCAGGTGACATATCTTTGAAATTTAGTAATCTTCCTGATTTATCTTATCTGGACCTGTCTAGAAATAGATTCACTGGAGGAATTCCCACTGATATTGATCAAGCTTCAGGGCTTCAGTATTTTAACATGTCTAATAATCCTGCGCTTGGAGGCATAATACCATTAAAAACATGGTCTCTGCCTCTTCTTGAGAACTTCTCTGTGGTTTCTTGTAGCATATCGGGCAATATCCCTCCATTTCAGCATTGTTTGAGAACTTCTCTGTGGTTTCTTGTAGCATATCGGGCAATATCCCTCCATTTCAGCATTGTAAATCCTTATCTGTTATTGAATTGAGTACAAACAAGTTTTCAGGAATCGTCCCCGAAAGTATTTCCAATTGTAAGGAACTTGTGAGCATAGATTTGGCTAACAATAACTTAGCAGGTCCTATTCCTTTAGAGATGGCTAAACTTCCTGCTATTGGGATTATAGACATGTCTCGAAATAGTTTCAGTGGTCCAATCCCAGCAGAATTCGGAAATTCTTCAACCTTAAAACTTCTGAATGTGTCCTACAATGACATCTGGGGTTTAATTCCTCCACAGAGGACTTTTAGATTGATGGATAGAAGTGCATTTTTTGGTAATCTGAAACTCTGTGGGGCTCCTCTGAGGCCTTGCCATCATGAAAATGTTATTCCAAATGGACTAGATGTGGGAAGTAGAAGAACTCAAAAGTTAGCCTGGATTCTGATCATCTGTGCAGCCATAGTCCTATTCATCACAACCGCGGTTTTTGGGATATTATACTTCAAAAGAGGAAGTAAAGGCCAGTGGAAGATGGTTGCTTTTAGAGGACTTCCTCAGTTCAATGCAAAAGATGTGTTGAGGAGTTTTAATTCTGTGGAAGTCCTTGAAGAAGTACCCGCAATGCCAGATTCAATTTGCAAAGTAGTTTTACCCACAGGAATAACTGTTTCCGTGAAGAAGATTGAATGGGAACCGAAAAGAATGGAAATTGTGTTACAATTTTTGCACAGGATGGGAAATGCAAGGCACAGTAATTTGACAAGATTGCTCGGGATTTGCTACAACAGCCGCCTAGCTTATCTGTTGTATGACTACTTGCCTAACGGAAATTTGTCGGAAAAGACCAGAATGAAGAGAGATTGGCCAACAAAATATAAGATGGTGATTGGAATTGCAAGGGGACTCTGCTTCCTTCACCATGATTGTTATCCAGCAATACCACATGGA